AATGGGACCATTAGTGGGCAGAGAAAGTGCTAAGATTGCCGAGCAAAGGCAATGGTGGCCTGCGCTCACCCCAGATGTATCTGATTCCTGCCAGATCTCAATCGCTTACATCACCTCACAGAGATTGCACCGCTCCGAACTACGCCTTTTAGTTTTTCGATAGGGAGGTAGGCATGGGTCTTCTACGCACCACCGAAAGAAGGAAACGGTATATCCTTATTATGGTAGTCTACTTCCGAAATGCGGTCGAGACAAAAATTGTGAGAACATTAAACACAAAAAAATTATCTAGATTTTCTTTTTCATTTGCTGAATTTGTCAACACAGGGTGCCAGCAACAATGCACGACGATAAGGGCCGTTTATTCGGAAGTCTGCTCTTCACCGGACTATGAAAGCAGTACAGGATTTCCAAGATCTGCACCACATCTGCACATGCGCAAGGTAGTGGACAGGTGAAATCGAAACGCACTCCGCATGGCCTGTTGAAGGATTTACCAAGGATGTACAATCGAAAGACTGTTACATATGCCTTGAACGGTGCCTTTCCGCTTATAGGGCTATAGTTCATGTATTATTGGGCCTTCCACCGTTCAAGATGCTCACAGTTGTGATAATAGAGTACCCTAAAACATAAATTCAAAACGTCCCTGGATATGTACTGACACTGAAAGACGAGATGTGAAAAATCTCCCATACCGCCCAGAGACACCTGCTACCGTCACATATATATGAGACAGAGGATCTACGGTGGCAGCCACAGTTACCCTAAAGTTAACCAAAAGGAAGACCTATTACAGTCAAACAGCCCTGTCCCGCCGTTTGAAGTATGTTGCGCATCCCATTAGCGGTGGGAGAGGGTTGCATCCTGAGTGATGAAAGCCATTTCATATGCAAACCACCTGGATTTCAACGCACGACTCCGTGCTCAACCACTCAAGTTTCATCATAACAAGAGGAAGTTTGCATACCAGGGAAGTATGAAGACAATTAGAAGTGGCAAATTTAGATCCCACTCATCGGGAAAGTACCGAAGACTGTTCCAAAGGGATGAGGGGTCTAGGTAATTCATGGATGCTGAAATGTACATATTGGGCGAGGGACGACATTATGTACCGTGCTAATGTCCGCAGGGGTTGGTGGATACTCCGAGCTCATATAGACTTGTCCTCCTGTTGCGTTGTAAGGCTAGTGAACTAGCGACAAGGTGAGGCAACTGGGTAGAGAAATAGAGTACTTAGGAGTTGATTAGCTTAAAATTTTGAGAGAAAGTGAAGCAGTTTGAGAGGCAGCTAAAAGGCGAAAATTTGGGGTTAGAACATTAGGATATAGAGACGTGAAGAGCCAGATGACTAAACAGGTAGTGTTCTTGAGTATCAAATAGGTAGACAAATGATTATTTAGATGTCAAGAGGGGAAGTGACTTACGGGAATACGGAGAGCCAGGTATTTCACGCTTGCAATTTAGGGGTCAATTTTATGCATCTGCAGAGCATCCCTTCTCTTGCCCGCTTGTTTGTGCTCTCCGCCATTGTGGAGTAAACAATTCATGTCCTCACATCAGTTTAAACACGCCTTGAGTAGGCAGATGCTATTTCACTGTTCTAATCTACATTCATTTTGATGAGGAATAGCTAGTAGCCTAAAATTGGTTTTGTTGAATTATGTTTTGACATTAATCCTCGTTATTCTAATTCTATCCGTAACAATTATTCTAAAAGCTATGAAGTTAGAGGAGTAGAGATCTAGCTTATATGCAGTGGGATAAAGCATGCTAATTATTTGGCTATTGCCTTTACTTGGATAGATTTTGTTACAGGGGAAATGTTCTCATGAGTAGCCTCTTACACTCACAATCACACACCGGAGATGTGGACAACCAAGCTACCTGGACGTCAGCGTAGGCATCGGGAACAATGTAAATTACTTAACATTTGTCAGTTTTTTTTTATTTTTTGCAGACTTAACAACTCGTCTGCACCATTTATAGAAGGAGTAGCGAAGTGGGTAAAAGTGAAAGCCGTCACTTACAGTAAGGGCATTTGCAGCGTGGTGTTCGCGTCCCCCCGCCAGTCTTTTCAGTAGCGCTTAATGTGCAGATGCACCTCTGGTTATAGATTTTCCTCCAAATTGTTCCTTTTCTCCATAAACTTGGAGCCAATAATAGCAAGGGAAACGGTTTTAGGGTCTCGATCGTTGGAAAGGAGAGTTAGTACGTATTTTAGCGGAAAGCCGCCCCTTATCACATGCAGCATTTGCGATCCAGAATGGGATAGACGAAGGCTCTTTTTATCACGCCCACCACCAACTAGTCCTATTGGAACCTCCGGACCAACGCACCTATGCGACATCGTGGTGAGGATCAATGACAAACATACCTTCATCAATGCCTACTGCTATCTCAACCATGGATGGGCTGAATGGAAGCTGCATCAAGTTCTAAGATAAATTAACTATACACTAGCAAAAAACTTATTTTATTTTTGCCGTATTACAGGAGGGATTACTTTTACCATTGTTTATCCGTGGATAAAACTTAGCTAAATATGTCTGTCAACGAAAGCAATTTTGCATACTTTTATGATATCAACAAATTATGAAGGCTAAGAGACCGGTTCCTTGAGGGATTAAATAATTCAGCTGGAGGTAGGGGCATACGCCGTAGGATAGACGAAAATGAAAGGCACACAGGGGTACACTACCTAAAACAACCAATAGGAGAACAGCATTCGCGCATTCCCCTCACTTTGGACGCCCCAAAGGAGCGATGTTTTAGCATCCGCAAGTCTATTCAGACCGTGACTCGATGAAAAGCAGGTAGTGAGTCAGGGTTGATGACTGTCCAAAATGACCAGCATACCTTCCTCCATGGCTTTATCCACTATGTATTTAGCCTCATCGAATGGGACGTCATCCGAAATTACTGAGCAGCAAAAAGCAAATAAGTAAACAAAGTTGTCACTCGAGAGTGGAGGTGAACCCACCGATTGCGTTGATGCTGCTAATGGAATGCTGAAGTAGAAAGTTTGATTTTTTTACTGTTCACTCGTGTATAATCAAAATCAGTAGCGGGCTGTAGGCAATGATGGTAATATAAACAGGCCTGTAAATAAAAATGCAGTAAAGGAGGTTAAGAGTCTAGGGGCTACGGGTCAGGCGTCAAGATTAGCTGATCACCTGAGAGGGGTTAGGTCAACGATGGTGTGCAAAAGAAGTTCCTAAAGGTAGGAACCACGTGAGCGAAGTTAACAATGCAAAAAAGTAAATTGATAGGCCCTGGGGCTTTAAGGCAACTCACAGTAGAAGGCCCCGGAAAATATGGGATATATTAATGACCTCATTTGCCGAGCTCCCATACGGCCCCGGCGCCGTACATGTTGCACCTTTGTTTCGCAATGTCGTGATTATTTTTTTGCTGAAAAAAAGCAAGGTGCACATGTAGGGGTGTGTTGAGGGTTCGATGATTGCAAAGGATCACAGTTGCAGCATTGTACTAGACCCATTGAGTTAGTGGAAAGAGAAATTGAAGAAGGGCATGCCCTCTTACCTGGTTTAATCAGGATGGAATGGGTCAGTGCAGTAAGCGATGAAATGCGATTAAAGCGAAAATGTAGGCATAAGTGACACTACTCATCTTCTTATTCTGCTTTGGTTCAAAACAGCAAACACTGGAAGCAAGAAGGAGCAAACAGAGCCACGGATTAATTAAGTAAGGAATAAAATCTTACCCATGATAATATTAGCTACAATAGCTACAAATAGTGAGTTGAAAAATACAAGTGTACACTCCACCGGAGGGCCTAAATGATTGGAAAAAAGACGGGCATGAGTGAATTCAAGAGTAGTAGCCCTGGGAGATGATGAACTCACCTAACCGTATTTTGCCTTGTTCATTTAAGTTAGCTTTCTTGAGGGCGAAGGCAGCACCAATTCCAATCACGACGACACTAATTGTAGTAATAATGATTCTGTTGTGAACAAAGACCTTAAAAAATGTTGAAATGCCATTGTAGAACCTCCACTTTTGCTAATTAACCCCATCGACTAAGATCATGACCTTTCCATTTGTCCTCTTAACAAATTGTTGACTCTTCGACAGAGTGTGCGGTCGAAGCCCATAAATGAGCAGTCGTTTTGCATAACCAACCACTCTGCAGGCACATGTGACTGCCAGCTAGCATATACAGCTTAGCCTCAGTAATAAAGGAGCTGAAAAATACCTCTAGACTAGGGATCCATTGCCGCA